GGGAAGAACAGGCAATATTTCATCAAGGTAATCTACTTGACTCATAGAGAAAGCATTTCATAATTTTTTTTTAAAATTTACTCTACAATTTGCTCTGAGTCTGAGAGGAAAAGAATCCCCAAATTGCCATGTGATTCCTCAGTACTTGTTTCATCAATAGTTAGTGAAGGTGACTTCAATCCTGTTTATAGGGTTGTCATACTATTTATTTCTGATCTGGACCGGGAACAACACTTTCAACATCTTGCATCAGATGCAAATATCAGAAGCCCTGTAGAAATTTGTTCTCTCATTATTCTAATATTTTGAAGACCTGGTCTTGCCAGAAGTAGTTGGGCACAACTCCTTTTTAGTCTGACTTTATTTATACTCTGTGGATAATAACAAACTAAGTATACGATTGATTAAATTAGGAATCCTAAGACATTTATTTGTGTTCTTGCAAATTCTAAATATAAACTGAGAAGCAGTTGTAAGAAACTAATACGGTAACACAGCATGGTTTAAAGTCAGGAAAAGTTGTAACCTTCTTCCAAACTACAAACTGTTCATATTTAACTTATAATATGAGAAGCTGGACAATATAAAGAAGGTGCATCACTACTGAAGGAAGTCCCATCAACATCCTGTGTTATATAGAGAAGTGAACTTTGCTTGAATAAAGGAGACATGAAACACTATCTGTAGAAAATCAAAGACTACAAACTACATTATGGATTACATCTGAACATCAAGAAAACAAAGGCCCTCAGCACTAGAAAAGTAGGCAGCATCATGAGATGTGGAGAAAAGAAGTTGTCAAGAATTTTGGTTGACTTGGATCCATAATCAAAATTTGTGGTAACAGTAGTGGAGAAATCAAAATTATGTGTTCCTTTGGGAAATTTTGCTGTCAAGGATCTCTCCAACTTCTAAATAGCAAGGATGTCAGTGTAAAGACTAAAGTGCACCTGATCCAAGACATGGTTTTTTCAGGTACTTCCTATACATTTGAAAGTTGGAAAATGAATATGAATAACAGAAGAAATAGTGATTCCATTGCATTGTGGTATTAGAGAAGAATACTGAATTTTCCACTAACTTCCAGAACAAGAAAGAAGTCTGTCTTAAAGCAACCAGGTTGCTTCTTAGAGGCTAGAATGGTGAATGTGATAGACCCATATATGTAACTGCAAAGTGATGTGTCTATGGAGCTCTTTTCAGAGAAATATGAAATTCATGTATTGACATCTATTGTTTAACCATTCACACGGAATCAATCTCTCTCTCTCTCTCTCTCTCTCTCTCTCTCTCTCATGTTTATACCTGGATGTCTAAATATGCTTTTATGCATTCATTTTTCTTTTTTTATTCTCCCTTTTGATGCATGCTTTCTTCTCCCGAACAGACCCATCTAGCAATGCAACTGTTTTTACTGAATGTTGTCATACATTTACCCTTTAATCATATTTTCCTTTAGAATATTTCTTCCCATAATCTATTCTACTACAGTGTTAATTATCTATCTACTCTTTCCCCATTCTCTACCCATCCTACCCTCATCTGTCCTCTTTTATTACAATAATGTTATACAATATTTGACCTTTTGTGACTGGAGTATTTCACTGAGCATATGTCCTCCAGACTCTCTCATGCTGTGTAATGCCTTAAGAGTTTGTTATATTTCACTGTTGCATAATACTCCATTGTGAACGCATCATAGTTTTTCTATCCATTCTTTTGTTGTTGGGCATTTGGGTTGTTTGCACTCTGGAATTTTCTCTTGAATGATCAATGTGTGAATGTGGATTCTGCATGCAAAGCTGGCTTTTCTGCCATGATTTACCTCACTGAGTGACCTCTGCCCTATGTAGTAATACCCTGTACTTTCAGATCCTTTACACACCTGAATGGTCTTTGATAATTAAATATTTGACAAAAGGAATTGAGTCTATCTCATTTATTTATGTTAATTTATTTTCTAGCTCTTTTAAGAATCCTGGTCATATTCTCAATATTGGCACACCAAATTTTACAGTCAGCTATTAGGAAACACCTACATAAAGACATAACTACAAGACTGATTCCTCTTAGAAGTTAGGATTACAGAGCCTTGTGCTACTGTCATGGAACAAGAAGAGGACTATAGCTGAGTCTCACCAGAGGTGCACAACCAGAGCTGGAGCTCAGAACAGGACTCTCTTGTTGAGTAGTGAGCCGCCAGCAGGGGGAGCTCAGGGCCGACAGAGCACATGGCGGCCACAAAAGAAAGAGAAGGGTTGAAGGGTGTTTCCTGTAAGGTCAGGCTTTCTTCCTGGGGTTCAAAATAATCTTCTCTTTTATGTGCTAACTCTTAAGACAAAAATTTGTTCTGCAGGTACAGCCCATATACACCCAACATGACCTCTCTATACAAACAAAGAGAAAAACACATCAGAACATGCATGATTTCCTTTTGCTTATCAAGATACCCAGTGAGACCCTGAAAGCTTTGGTCTATTATCTAAAGTATATAGGAAGTATTTCCTTGAATTAAAAAAGAAAGAATTATAAGGCCTATTGGAGCTGGAGTATAGATAAATACTGGGCATTCTATATCTGTCCATTGAAGAAGGTCATTGCAACTTAAATAATTTCCTTCTTTTTTGTTATAAAAAATATTATACAGTCTAACCAATAGACGTTTTTGCTGCTCAGAGACAAAGTTATGTTGTTGTTTTTTCTGGGAAATGTGAATTTTAGTAAAGTGAGGGATTAAAAACTGTGATTGTTCAGCAAATTCATATTTTTTTGTCTAACTGTGAAAACCCAAACACCTGTCAAAAAAAAACAAAACAAATAACTTCTGTGATTTCACATCTCCCATCCTCACCCCTCTACTCCCACTCCTTCTCTCCTTGGATTCTCATACATGTTTTGCTGGTTATCTTTCTACTTTTACAATGTAAAGGAAATAGAAATGATCTGGTGAGGACCTGAAAAGGCAGAGCAATGGTAGTTATGGTTCAATGGTGATTAATTTTATGAAACATAATGAACACAAATGATTGCATGAAACACAGTGGGAATAAAAATACTGTGATGGACGGTGCATACAAAACGTGTAAGCAAATAAATAGAAAATAAATTTAAAAAATAAAACAAAACAAAAATGTCCTACTTCCACTTATGGCTAACACTGAAAGGAATGGAAATCTCAGATCACTTAATTGTGTTCATGAGAAACCTATACCTTAATTGGAGGTATTTATGAGCAAGGGAACAGAGCATGGTTTAAAATTCAGAAGGGTGTGTGTCAGGGTTGTAGTCTTTCTCCATACCTATTCAATTCATATGCTAAGCAAATTATTCCAGAAAATCAGAGGGAGACTCATTAATAACTTGCATTAAGCAGATGACACAACCTTCCTTGCAGAAAGTGAGGAGGAATTCAAGCCCTTGTTGCAGAAGATCAAAGAACACAGCTTTTACTATGGATTGTCTCTCAATGTCAAGAAAACAAAGATTCTTGCCACTAGACTGATAGACAACATCATGGTTGGTGGAGAAAAGTTTGAAACTGTCAAAAATTTCATTTTATTTGAATCTATAATCAATACCCTTGGTTTTGTTGTTGTCTCTATGTGCCTTCTAGTCTGCTCTGAATCATAGTGATCCTATGTGCAACAACTCTCAACCCTGCTCTATTTGGAGCCAATTAAACTGTCTCTGACACACCCTAACCCATTATCCCAGTCACTGAGCCAATTCATCTCATCCAGGATCTTCCTCTCTTGCCCTGTCCCTGCAACATTCCAAGCATGATGTCTCTCTCTAAAAACTAGTCCCTCCTTGCAACGTGTCCAAAGTATGTCAGATGAAGCTTCAAAATCCTTGCCTCCTAGGAGCAGCCTGGTTTTTTTCATCTCCAGAGTGGAATTGTTTGTTATCATAGGGGTCTATTTTTTCAAGGCAATTTGTCTTTTCGTTTCCTTTGTACCAGCAGTCAGGAAATCAGGCGATGTATTGCACTGGGAATGTCTAAAATTAAGAACCTCTCCAAATTATTGAGAAGTAAGGATGCCAATTTGAGGACAGAGGTGCATCTGATTCAGGACATGATTTTTCTGATTACATACTGTACATCTGAGAGCTGGACAATGAATAAAGATGACAGGAGAAAAATTGAAACATTTGGGCTATGAGGTTGGATAAGAGTGCTGAACATGTATGGATGGCCAAAAGAACAAGCAAATATGTCTTGGAGACGATACAGCTGGAGGGCTTTTCAGAGGCAAAAATGATAAGGCTTTGTCTTACATACTTTGGGTGTGTTGCTAAGAAAGGCTGTTCTTTAGAGAGGAATACAATGCTTGGAAAAGTAGAGGGCTGGTGAAGGAAAGGAAGACCCTTGGTCAGGTGGATTGACATGATTACTGTCACTTTGGACTCTAATGTGTCAGAAAGTGTGAGAATGACACAGGATAGGACAGGGCTCAGATCTGTTGTCCATACTACTCACTCTAGACTGGACTCGACTCAACAACACCTAACAACAGTAATAATTCATTCTAACAGATCCACTTGTATGTTATTCTATCCAATAATCAATCAGAATTTTTCCACTCTAACCATTGCCTACGCCTTACATCTAGACAGAAATAACTATAGGAGGAAGAACACAATGATTCTGTTTTCTCTTTCCCCAACCATTTTCTGTGTTCCTTAATGAGAAAGGATCTCTCAGTAATTGAGGAACTTTTTCAGCAACACACGACCTCAAATAGAACTGATGTCATCATTCAGGTGTGGCTTGCATACTTGGCATTATTGTGTGGTGTCATTTAAATACATTTAATGTAATCATACTCCTCTCAACTTAAATGTTGACATATTCTTTTATGAATATACAAATAACTGAAGGTCTACAAGGTTAAATACAGATATGTCAGTGCCCCAAGAACATCACCCCACGATTGGCCCACTCACCCCACCACACACACACACACACACACAAGCCTTGATATCACAGCTCTCTCATCATGGACTGGAGCTGGAGAATCATCTTATTTGTCACAGCAGCTGCAGGTCAGAGGGTCCCTAGTCCCTGGGAGGAGGACAAGATTGTGAATATCCAGAAGGAATTTCATTGAACCCTTTTGTGTTATCAATAGGTGTCCACTCCCAGGTACAATTGGTGCAGTCTGGACCTGAGATGTCCAAGCCTGGGGCATCAGTGAAAATCTCTTGCAAGACTTCTGGATACACCTTCACATACTATGCTTTGCATTGGGTCCAGAAAACTCCTGGAAAAAGGTTAGAGTGGATAGGATATGTTTATCCTAGTGATGGTGGAACAAGCTATGCACAAAAGTTCCAGGGCAGAGTCACCATGACCAGAGACACATCCACAAGCACCGGCTACATGGAGCTGAGAAATCTGAGCCCTGATGACACGGCCACCTATTTCTGTACAGTAGACACAGTGTGAAAACCACACCCTGTGTGTGACAAAAACTCTGAGGATGCAGCTGTGTTGGCAGAAGAGGGGACAATTATATGTAGACTGCAGGCTGTTTTACTTTGGGGTTGAGGAGTTGGAAAAAAGGGACAATGGTAATGTGTATTAGTCCAGTTAGTTGTTGCTGTTATTGTTGTTTTGTATCATCAAGTTCGAATTGACCAATAGGGACCTCTCCAGCAGGGTTTCAGAGAGTGTAAATTATTTGAGAGAAGATTGCTTTTCTTTCTCCTGTGAAGTGACTGGTGGATTCAAACAGCAAATCTTTGTGTTGACAGTGAAGTTCCTTACCATGAGGCTACCAGAGAGGTCTTCAAATATACAAATTTCTCAGAAGGAAAATTTACATGTATGGTGGGATCTTTTCCAATAAGACTTTCTTATTTATTTTTATTCCTAGTTGTAAAACAAGATAAGAGTTGAGTTGTCAGCCTTGATAGATGGTAAAGTTATGATGTTTGACTGACAGGATTTCTCTTACTGACCTGCTGAGGTATTTTGTTACTGAAAACTCCTTGAAGTCATGCTGGTTTTGGTTTGTGTGTCAGTCTTTGAGAAGTAAGGATAGTTTGTATCCTTGAGGTGGTGACAAGTATGGAATATTCTTCATCACCCAAAAGAAAATCATTTCACTTCTGCTTAAGTCCTAAGACACAGCAAACTTTGACCATCAACCAGCTATCAAAATGTTCAAATTCATGAACTCACTCATATTTGCATGGGGGTTTTGTGTGTCTTTTTATACTCCTAGACATATACATCATTGACTTTGTCGTATAATATACAGACAATTCATTACAATAACAGAATCCATACAGCTTTTTGAAAATACAACATGATACAAACTTGTAACAAGTTACAAATGATGATACATGAGGACTAGGGAAGCACATGTGCATTTAACTGCCTGGAAATCACTGTTCAGTTCCATACCGCCAATCCCTTCTCTGCGTACTGAATGCTTTGCCAAAACTTTGCTTTGCGCCTCTGTTTTGGAAGTGGTTGTTTCTGTTTCCCCCCTTAGGTCGCTGACCCCTGAAACCTCCTCCTTTTCTTCAGTCCTGTTATCCTCTGAAGCCTCTTCTTCTGTCCTACAGGCCCTGGAATTCTCGACTGCCTTCTCTTGGCTCCCTGCAGCCTTGAAATATTCTCCAAGTCCTTCCAGCTTTGGTCACTCGGTGGCCATAGAGAGCTGCTAGCACCTAGAGTCATGTCCTTTTTTCCTGTATTTCTGTTAGTACTGCAGTATGGACATTAAGCAAGCACCCAATTCCTTTGTGGTAAATCATCTCCTCCACTTTGGAATGATTCCAATATGCTGAGCATATTTGCCCAGCTGCTCTTTCAGCTCTTTCTAAGTGTAGCTAATGTTTAAAATTGGCATTAAGCACTCTAAGTTCATGGCCACAATGCCTACCTCCACACTGACCAAGCAGCACTGGCCGACCATTGTGGTTCCTGAAGTGTGGGTTTGTGCATCTTCCAGGGCTTCCACAGATCCGTCTCATAGATGAGTTTCTCAGCTGGTGGTTTCAAGTGACTTATGGCTTAGGACGCACAGAATCCAACTACTTGATGGCACCTTTGTTGGAAGCTTTTATTCTTTTTGTTGCAGAAGATAAACTTATTCATTTAAATGTAACTCTTCCTTTTTTTCTTTATGTGTGCCAATTAATATTTTTCCTTGAACTGATAAAGCAGATATAAACTCCTGTCCATCCAGCTCTATCTGTTCACACAGAACAATGGATGTAGGACTTCACATCCTTTGGTGGAGAGCTTTGTTCAACCAGATCAACTTCAGTGATATCTAATCCACGCGCAGCCACATTGGTTGCAACCAAAATGCCAAGATCACCATTTTTAAAACCTTTCAGTGTGATTGCCCTTTGCTTTTGTGGGATGTGTCCATTTTGTGGGATGTGTCTCACATGATCCAATTGACAGACGTATGGTGTTCCACTATAAGAAGACACTGGGAAGGGTTTTTTCATGTTATAACTGAAGTCTTAGCTTACTTGATTTGCAGAGTCTCTTGAAGAAGCAAGAGCAGCCTCACTTTCTCTCCTGCATATCTCCCTGTAGTCTCTCAGTCAAGGGGATGGCAAAGGAGAATGTCTTCCAAATTCCAGTCTGTGCCTCTACAATTAAGTCTTTCCCACCATAGACCTGATGAACCATCCTTACTTGTATAGGAAACAGAAAGTTCACTCCTCAGATTTTGAGAAGTTCAAGAGTCACTTCAGAGACAGGAAAATCGAGTAAGCTCCTTCTTCTTGTTCAACTGGTATTTCCTGTTACAGTTTGCTGTTACTGTCTTCACATGTGGATTCATAGATGATAGGGGCAGGTTCAGAATGAGTGAGTTTATTCTTCAGTTTGGGTTGGGTTCTCCTCCCTCTAATCTCTCCATTCATTGCCTTTTCATTCATTATTTTCTTAGCTTTAAAAGCATCCATTTGTTTTTCTGAATTTTCCACATTTTTGTTGGTTTTTTTTAAGTGTTAAAAAACTTTAAAAAGAAGTAACTTGCTATTCAAATGATACTTTTATTTTTCTCACTTTTGATTTTAGGAGACATACTGGCATGTTGAGATCACTCCTCTTTTATTTTTTTTTTAGCCTTTTTAGATTTGGGAGAATTTATTTCAATTCCAGAAGGCTCTGTTTTCTTTTTTGTCTTTTGAACTTTGGGAGAAATAGTGTCTTCTTTCTCTTGCACTGAATTTTCAGTCTTAGTAGATTTTGACTTCCCTTTTTTACCTTTCTTCTCATTGTGTTTTCTCTATGTCTCAAATTTTCCCATGGTCACATTTGATTCCAAATCAGTGACACTAAGAATTTCTCCAGCATCACTCAGCACCTTCTTTGAAACGAGACTCAGCTCTTCAACAATTTGTACAGGAAAAGATAAGATGTATATTTTTATATTATCTGTCTATACATATACATATTATCTGTTGTACATAGGGTCGCTATGAGTCGCAGGCGACTCAACGGCACATAACAACAACAACAACAACAACAACAACAACAACATCTGTCTATAAAATTTCTGTGATTGGGTTCACAAGGTCTGTTAACAACATTTTCTATTTTTCATTCAGAACCTATATTAACCTATTTTTCCCTTTCTCTTATTGCACTTGGAAGTGAAATTCTCAATCACTTTTTCCTCTGTGTCCATTATTATTTATGCGTGCGTGCGCACACACACACACACACACACAGCACACAGACAGACACACAGACACACACACATTCTTTTGTTGTTATCAGTTATAACTCACAGCAAACTCGTGACAGTACAGAATTGCTTTATAGGCTTTCCAAGGCTGATTTTTTTTTAATTTACAAAAATAGATTGCTAGCCTAGAATTAGCAATGGGCCCAAATGAGCTATTATATTATATTCTCAGATAGTTGGAAAAAAGCTCGAAATTCAAAGGTTTTTAAATATATGCACATCTTCAATCTGAGTATCAGTCTCTCATTATAATGATCAGAAATAATAAAATAGAAACTATACAACTTTAGTCACATAATGGAATACTATGCAATACTCAGTAGCAACAATTTGTAAAAATATTATATGGAGAGGCTGGAGACCATTATGCTCAATCTCATGAGGACAAATAATGCATAAGACTATTATTGTAAAAATACAATGATAATTAGTAAGATGTGCATAAATGTTCAAAGAGGAAAGGGGAAGGAGTAGCAGGCTAAAGGTGGGAGTGAGAGGAAATCACAAGGTCACAGACTTGGTAGATGGAGGGAGAGGGGGATGCAGGAATCAGGAAAGATCCACTGGGGACCTGAAAAGATAGTCTAATAGTAGGCATAGAACAATTATGATTAAGTTTGTAAGACACAGTGTATGAGAGTAGTCATATGTAACCTAATGTGAATGAAAGAATATATGAAACACAAAGTACATGAATGAAACACAATAGGTGCAAGTTTTATATCTGAATCAATATAAAATGAAAAAATATAAAAGCATAACTGGGGAAAAGAGATTGTTGACTATGGATCCTAGTTAAAAAAATCCTTGACAAAGCTAACAAAAAGTTACAGAACACCAAGATATTAGTAAACAAAATGATATATGCATACATCAAAACAAATGAATACTGTAGCTTAAAATGAATATATTTTGAGATACACAAAATAAGAAGTGATTCACATATAAATATGCTGAATAAAATAAGTGACACAAATAAAGATATATACAGTTTTAACAAAATATATCCTATGAACTCATTACATCACTACATGACACAAAGCTTGGGAGGAGGAGTGGCATCCACTTCCATAATAGCTTACCTCCCGAAACCCTATGACCCTGGAGAGAGGATGAAAGGCACCCAAGCGTCGAGGACTCTCCTTCATAGGGCCGCTATGAGCCTACGACCCGGCGACACTTAACAACAACAACAACAACAACAACAACATGACACAATGAGAAAGCAATTTTCCTGACCAGCCGTCATTGCTACCGAACCAGCTAGAATATAGTAACTACTTCTAGGATACTGTGCTCCCTGAGAATGCACAAATCAGGGACTTGTTATTTAGTAGTGAGTTAAGCAAACAAGTTCTACTCAGTGCTAATGAATAGCAGCTCAATGGATCTCTTTCCACTCTGGAGGAGGAGTCATATTTCTAGGACTCCCAAATGTCCCCACTCAGCGATTAAGATTGAACACACACACACACACACACACATACATACATATATGTTGTTGTTGTTATGTGCCGTCTAGTCATTTGCGACTCATAGCGACCCTATACATAACAGCCCTAAACCCTGCTCTATCCTGCACCAACTGCACTGCCTCTGACACAACCATCCCGATTACCCCAGTCACCGAATCAATCCATCTCATAGAGGG